AGCTCTTCAGCTCAAGGCTAGCACTCTACCACTTGAGCCACAGTGCCACTTCTGGCTTTTTTCTTTTTGCTTATGTGGTGCTGAGGAATTGAACCTCATGCATGCAATTGCGCTCTACCACTGAGCCACCTTCCCATCATTCTTTAACTTGGGTTATTTACAGCTATGTTTTAAAATTTCTGAGCAGAAAGGTCTTTTTAAAAAAAGTTGACTTTCAACTGAACTCTATAGTAGGTTTATGGCCTGGTTAATTGTTACATCTTAATAATTGTTCCAGGTTTGCTTGGTAAGAATGTATAGTTTTAGTGGGTTAATATACCCAATAATCATTCTTGCTAATTCCGTTGCTCAACATCTACAGCCTTTTTTGCCTTTTTTTTTGTCTTATTAATGGGTTTATGTTTGGAAGGGGGATATGTGACGTATGTATTTAAATATCCTTATTATGCTGTCAGTTTCTCCTTATTCTGTCCATGCTCATTTATATATTCTGAGGGTAATTGTTGAAGTTCATAGGAGCTGGCTTTTGTTTTTAACAATAGTAGGATTAAAACTAGAGCCTGGCACATGCTACTCAAGCACTTTACCTCTTGAGCCACATCCCTCGTTTTGTAGGTGCTGATTTTGATATCACTAATCAAATCTTTTATCCTTTCCTAGTGATTTCCTTTTATCTTTACCAGCACTTTTTGTTGTGCAATCTAATTTGTCTAATAGTAATAGAACCATATCCATTTCCTTTTCTTAGTATTTGAACGTTATTTCTTTTTCCTTCCTTTTTCTTTCATTCTTTTAGTACTCTTATGGTGGGCTCTCTCTCTTATAAACCAATATGGCTAGTTTTGAAAATTCTACTCTTATCTTGTTTTGGCTTATAGTGGATAAACACAGTTCATGGTCATTTCTTTATTTCTTACTGTTCTATTTATTTCACCTTTTCTATGGTTGTTCTTTTAGCACAGAAAAGTATGTGGCTTTTTTCCTCCTGCTATGCCTTATCTTGGATTTTTTTGGGTCAAATCTAAATTTTCTAGTTCAATTTTTTTTCTATTCGAATTTGTACATTAAATACATCATGTTTATTCTTAGTGGCTACATTATACGTTTTATCTTGTATATTTTAAACTAATTTTTTAGCCTTCTTCATAAATACTAAGACTAAAAACATAACTATAGTACTTAAACTTCCCTTTCAACTTACATAGTGTTACTCTCCAGTATCTGAAGAAGTGCTGGTTTTTACTCATGTAATCACTGCTTTGCACTTCTGTTTTCCTTGCATCATAGACTTTATTCTTTTTTTTTTTTTTTTGGGTCCGGTTGTGGGGCCTGAACTCTGGACCTGGGTGCTGTCCCTCAGCTCTTCAGCTCAAGGCTAGCGCTCTACCACTTGAGCCACAGCACCACTTCTGGGTTTTTTCTTTTTGCTTATGTGGTGCAGAGGAATTGAACCCAGGGCCTCATGCATGCAAGGCAAGCACTCTACCACTAAGCTACCTTCCCAGCCCTCATAGACTTTATTCTGAGAGTTTCCACCTGCCTGATAGTTTACCTCAAATTTTTTTTTTTTACAAAGTCTAATCTGCTTGTTGAATTCTTTGTTTTTAAATTTTAGTTTGAATTTTTTTTGCTGGTTCTGGGGCTTCTGAGCCTCTTTGTGTTCAAGGCCTGCCCTCTACCACTTGAGACACAGCAATACTTCTGGCTTTTTTTTTTTTTTTTTGAGTAGTTTATTGTATATAAGCGTCTCACAGGGACTTTTCTGCACAGCTGGCTTTGAACTGCGATCCTCAGAACTCAGCCTCCTGAGAGGTAGGGATTATAGGAGTGAGCTGCCAGCGCCCAGCTTTGAAAATCTTGTATTGCCCTCATTCTTTTAAGGTACTTTTGGTATATAATCTAGATTGACAAGCTATTTTCAGTTATTAAAGATAACATTTAGTTATTGTCTCAATTCCATTACTGTTAAGTTAGCTATGAATTTAATCATTGGTTTCTTTGTGTATGGCTAGCTTAAATTAAAAAAAAAACAAAACTTGCCGGCTATTTTAAAGTATCATCTCTTTGTCTTTGAGTAACAGTTTTAGTACATTGTTTCTAGTTATAGATTTCTCACTAAAAAAAAAATCTTTTTTTAGGATTTGTTTGGCTCCTTGGCTACTGAAATCAGGGGACTAGTATCTTTCATCAGTTCTGGAAAACTCAGCATTTTGTATTAAGTTGCTTTTGTCCCACTTTCTTCTCTTCCTGGGACTTGGATTAGGTATATACAGACTTTTTTGTTCCGGCGTCCATGTCTATGTTTCTTAACCTCTTTTTTCATATTTTCCATCTCTGCTCCTTCTGTGATCAGAAACCAGACGAGATCGAGGAAAGGTAAATATGAAAGCCAGATTCACCCAAGAGGCAAGCGCTAATATTAGTTCTGGGATTCAGACACAAAGTCTTGAATCCAACCCAAGTTAAAAAAGTTGCAACTGAGATATTTTGTTAAGACAGACCTGTGGATGGATTAAACATACCTAGCTGACCTGCTGGCAGATATAAATCCAGATGCTGTATAAATGAAAACACCCTTAACATAAGGCCCAAGGATATCCATGTGTAATGTTTTAGCTAAATATAAGCCCATTAATAAAACACACAAATAAGCCTTTATGAATGAAAGCACAAATAATAAACTTACTTGGACATCCACAGACTTCATATGCTAGGATTTTTTTTTTAGTTTGCACTTAAAGTGTAATGAACACCTTGTTTTAATTTACTTGGGATCTAGTTTTATTTAACAAGAAGGCACTGTAAGACATCTAGTCTGTCATAGTAGTTAAGTAGAACCCTTTATAGTGAGATGCTTATTACTAGCTAAATTAAAGTCTTGAAATGACTCATGTTCCTAGGGGAATTTTTTTACAGAGCTTGAGAACATCTTTTCAAAGTTATTGAGACTGCTTTTTCTCAAGTTCATAAGGATTATATGGGATAATTAAAGAAATGGTAAATTAAGAAATCATGACTAGTCATGTGTCCATGGCTCATGCCTGTATTCCTAGCTATTCAGGAGGCTGAGATCTCAGGATCGTGATTCAAAGCCAGCCCAGGCAGAAAAGTCCCCGTGAGACACTTATCTCCAATTAACCACTCAAAAATCAGAAGTAGAGGTTTGGTCAAAGTTGTAGAACAGTAACTTTGAGCAGAAGAGCTCAGGGACAGCGCCCAGGTCCCGAGTTCAAGCCCTACAACTAACAATATAAAAGAAGAAAAAAGAAATCATGACTAAAATGAAAAAATAGATATCATATCTTAATAAACCCATTTTGGTATTCATTTTGGGGGACAGGGTTTTAGATAGGGTCTCACACTAGCTAGCCCAGGCTAGCTTTGAACTTGCCATGCTACTGCCTCAGCCTCCTGGGTTCTGGAATTACTGATATGTACCAACATGTTCTGATATATATTATATTAGAAATCACAGCCAGGTGCTGGTGGCTCATGCCTATAATCCTGGCTACTCAGGGGGCTTATATCTAAGGATCACTGTTCAAAGCCGTCTTGGGCAACAAAGTCTGTGAGACTCTTATCTCCAGTTAATCACCAAAAAAGCCAGAAGTGGAGCTGTGGCTCAAGTGGTAGAGCAGCAGACGTGAGTGAAAAAATAAAAGATCAGCTCCCAAGCCCCGAGTTCAAGTCCCACTATTGGCACACACATATACAAAAATGTATGATTAATGGGGTTGGGATAAAGTTCAGTGGTGGAGTGCTTGCCTTAGCATATGCAAAGTCCTGAGTTCAGCCCTCAGCACTGACAAGTATGAAAGAAATGTACTATTTTTCTGTTCTTTTTTTGAAACTTAATTATCAATATTTTTTCTGTGCTCTTCTTCCCTGGAATTTTCAGGCGTAATATTCATGGAGTAAGCAAAGAAAAAATCACAAGAATGTTGGAACACTATCAGCGCTTTGTTTCAGTGCCCATAATCATGAGTTCTTCAGTTCCAGAGAAGACTGAACGGATTGAGTTGTGTGCATATGCTTATGAGGATAGAAGTTCCAGGTTGGTTAAAGTGTCTTATTCATACAAATTTAATTTGAAACTTTTTTTTTTTTGCCAGTCCTGGGGCTTGAACTCAGGGCCTAGGCACTGTCCCTGAGCTTTTTGCTCAAGGCTAGCATTCTACTACTTGAGCCACAGCGCCACTTCTGGCTTTTTCTGTGTATATGGTACTGAGGAATTGTACCCAGGGCTTCATGCATGGTAGGCAAGCCCTCTACCACTAGGCCACATTCTCAGCCTCCGTTTCTTGTTTTTTTTTTTAATGATAACTTTTAGAGCTTGTGGAATCACTGCCAGTTAACTTTAAAAATAAGACAGACCTTTGTTGTTTGTACATTCTCACCTGGAGTTATCTGACAATAAACAAAATTAGAGGAAAAGTTTTTGTGGAAGATGAAAGATTTTCTATTAGGCTCAGGGTTTTGTAAGTCTATGAATATGCTATGAATACACTTACATGATGTCTTCTGTTATTCCAGTAACCTCCTTTTCTCCTTTGTTGTTATTCTGTATATACCCATATCACTTATTAATTTTCTAATGTTTTAGTGGAAATACTCTTTCACAATAGTATCATAGAAATTATTCACAGTATACTTTTATTAAGTAATATAAGTCAGAGCCCTTTGGAAGTTTGCAGTCCAGGAAACTACTTGTCAGCTTAGTGTCTTTATAACAAAATTCCTCAGAGGTTCTGCTACTTCCCAGTTGTGCCAGGGACCAGTACTTTGAGGCATGAGTTACTGAGAACCTTATCTGAGTCACAGCAGTACTGATTCTATTAAAATTGAAGAAGTGTGTAAAGAAGCACCTTTATGTAGAGAGTTCTTAATTACCTGTGTAGTATTATGGCAAGGCGTGGGGAGGCTGTGTTACGGATTTGGGTATGGGATATGGAAATTCACAAATGCCTTTTGGAAAGGCAAAGTTGAAAAGTGGTTAAGACCATAGACTGAAGGCATATTTTTGTTTTCTTCTTCCTTCCTCCTGTTCCTTTCCCTCCTCCTCTCTTCTTCTTGTTGTTGTTCAGTTGTTGTCCTTTTTTTTTTTTTTTGGTGCTGATCCTGGGGCTTCAACTCAGGGTTTTGGCACTGTCCCCAGCTTCTTTTCATCAATGCTAGTGCTCTACCACTTTGAGCCATAGTGCCACTTCTGGCTTTTTTCTGTGGTTAATTGTAGGTAAGAGTCTCATGGACTTTCCTGCCTGGGCTAGCTTTGAACTGCAATCCTCAGATCTGAAGCTCCTGAGTAGCTAGGATTACAGGTGTGAACCACCAGCACCCGGCTCATATTTTTGTTTTCTGAATTCAAATCATAAAGCTTGTAATCTTTGATAATTATAGAATCTCTGTATACTTCAACTTCTCATACCAGAATGGCACTAATAACACTCTGTTTGTAAGGATCTTACAAAGATTATAAATGAACACCTCAAAGGACCTAGAATAACATGGGCACAGACATAATGCTAGTCATGTGTAGTTTAGAAAGGTTTCATGGGAGCCGGGTGCTGATGGCTTATGCCTGTAATCCTAGCTGCTCAGGAGGCTGAGATTTGAAGATCACGGTTTAAGCCAGCCCAGGCAGAAAAGTCCCCATGAGACTCTTAACTCCAATTTACCACTCAAAAACCAGAAGTGGCTCTGTGGCTTAAGTGGAAGAGTGCTAGCCTTGAGCACTAAGAGGCTTAGGGACAGTGCTCAAGCCCCAAATTCAAGCCCCACAACCTACAAAAAGAAAAAAGGTTTCATAGGAGTTGCGACTTTGAGAATTCCCCGAATAAAGAAAGAAAGGAAGATAAATTGATACACTGAATAAAGAAAAATAGAAGTGGAAAGTATAATTGATAGGCAAAAGTGCTCTGAGTTTGAAAACAATATCCAGGGTGGTTTAATACCATTTCATATGTAACACATTAAAGGAAATCCTTTCCCTAATTTTTCTAAAGCAGGTCAATTCTGTTGATTGGATTTTTGTGACTATAATGGAAGCCCCTCTGTAACAAATGACAGATATAAAGGTGGATCTAGTCTAAACTTCAGTAAATATCAAAGAAACCAGGAGGGCAGACTCTTCTACTTTAATATTTAATGCATAATGGGCACCTTAACTGAAACTCTTGTGGTTACTATTCAGAAACAGTTTGCTTTGTGTATGCTTATAGTTTCTTAGGGAAAGATGGAGATTAGCTGCTATTGTTTTTTTGTTTTTGTTTTTTTTTTCAGTTCTACTCGGGGTTGAACTCAGGATCTTACACATGCTAGGCAAGTGTTCTACCACTATGCTTTGCCACTGAGCTTTATTCCCAGCCCAGCTTTTATAATCAAAAAGTAGTTTTTGTTTTTAAGATTTGTAGCCCAGTCTAGCCTTAAATTTGCTATGTTGCCTAAATTAGCTTGGAACTCACAAACCTCTCACTGAGATTACAAGTGTGTAATCTACTATACTGGCTCTTTCTTTTTTTTTTGGCCAGTCTTGGGACTTGACCTCAGGGCCTAGGTACTGTCCCTGAGCTGCTTTTTCTCAAGGCTAGCACTCTTAACATTTGAGCTTCAGCGGTACTTCCAGCCTTTTCTGTGTATGTGGTGCCAAGGAATCAAACTCAGGGCTTTTTTTTTTTTTAAACTGTATTTTTTTGCCTTTCTTTCTTTCTTTCTTTTTTTTTTTTTTGTACTGGGGATCGAACCCAGGATGTTGCACTTGCTAGGCAAGCGCTTTGCCACTGAGCTACATCCCAGCCCTCAAACCCAGGACTTTATACATGGTAGGCAAGCACTCTGTCACTAAGCCACATTTCCAGACCTGGCTCTGCCTTTTATAATTTATAATTTTGTAATGTTATTTATTAAAAATGTTTAGGATTGCTATCTTGCAGTTGAATGCTTCTTTAAACATAATATTAATGAATATAGTAAGAGACTTTCTTATGATACTTTTTAAAACATCTTACAGCCCAAGAGACAATGAAGATGTTACCTCTGAAAAAGAAGAAAATGTTTTATCCTCATCTTTGAAACACTTAGAATTAATTGAAGAGGAGAATCTTGAAGTGGCCAAAGAAAATGTGTTACCTGAGAATATGACATATCTCCCTAATGTAGATTTAAACAAAGGCAGAAAAGAAATAAGTGGTATGAATCAGAGTACACAGAGTGCTTTCATTCAGGAAGCTCCACACATGTATTTTCCTAACTCTGAAAGCAAAATTCAGGCAACAGACAGAAGTGAAGAAGAACAAGTAGAATTAACAGCTGAAAAAGCTAAAATTGATGCACACGGTCCTGTAGACAGAGCATCACTGAATATTTGCTGTGGGGAAAATAATCAAGAAGACACTGATCTTGCAAATACTATACCTGTTCAAAATGAAAAACCTTCACCTAGTGAGATATTAGAAGAACGAACAACAGTAAAGAAAAAACCCAATGGGAAACAAAAAAACAAATCAACTTTGGAAAAGCTTCCTAGACAAGAGCTATCAAATTTTGTTGGTGACTGGCCTGTTGATAAGACGATTTGTCAGAGGACAAAAAGGAATCGGAAAACTGAAAAAGCCTCATCTATACAAACTGACAAAAAGTATAATCGCCCTCAGTCACGCAGAGTATTAGATACTAATATATGTATGAATGCAGATCATATCCAACAACAAGGATCCCCACAGGAAATTGTAGAGGACAGCAGGAAGTCCCAGTGTGATGATCCCTCAGAATTCCTCAATAGCTGTCAATATGATTCTTATACAAATACTGAAAACAACTCATTTAGTATTGTGAGTGACTGGCCTTCATCTGCTTCTTTAGCTCAAAGAGAGCCAAGATCAAGAATATCGAAGGCTGGTTTAAGTGAACCTATCCTAGAATTTGGAACTAGCGACAGTATGAATGAAATATCCTTATACAGACCACGGGAGGTTTGTTGGGGCACAAGCCCTGAAGAACTGAAAACATTGGGTAGTCCCACTCTCCAAAGTTCTGAAATGCTATCCAGTGAAGTGACCCAGGATAATCAGCCTTGTCTAAGTAAAAAGATCCACAGGCACACACTGCCTCTTACTTTTACCAGTAGTGCAGCAACTATTCCTAGAGTAGTAGGACCACAGACTTCAGCTGAATTTCCAGGGGCATTGCCTAAAGGAGTCCCTGGAATTGAAGTAGGCATGTCTACACAGACTGAACCACAGGATTTTGCTCTCTTGTGGAAAATAGAGAAGAATAAAATCAGTGTTTCAGATTCGGTCAGAGTATTAGCAGGAAGATTGGATGGATTTAAACCAAAAACTTTCAATATTAACACAAAATCAAATGTGCAAGAAACAATTCCTTATAGGGTAATGTATGATAAAAGTACGTTTGTTGAAGAAAGTGAGCTTACCAGTGCTGATGAATCTGAAAATCTGAATATTCTTTGTAAACTATTTGGCTCTGTTTCATTAGAAGCCCTGAAAGACTTGTATGAGAGGTGTAATAAGGATATTATTTGGACCACCAGCCTTTTGTTGGATTCTGAAACGAAATTATGTGAGGATATGGAATCTGAGACTTTCCAAAAATCATATGATGACTCACAAGTTGGGCCTTTTTCTCTCGGTTTGAATTTGAAGGAAATTATTAGCCAAAGAGGAACTTTAGAAGATTCTAACTCTTCTGTGCAAGAGTTTAGTCCAGGAATTGGTATCAATAAATCTAATGCCCAAACCACCTGTGATGCAGAAAATGGGGACTTGGAGCTGGCAGGAACTATAACTCCTGAGAACTCTGGTGGCTTCATAGCAAGCATATTTCCTAATGCTGCTGTAGACAGGAACAGGAATAATGGGGTGCTTCCTAATAATCCAGGTTTATATAGCTTTAAGCAGTCTCTTCCAGCTACTCCAAAGTCCACTGCCTCTAAAGATGTGAATGAAATCCAGAATAATCTAGTAGCCACGGGGTCTGGAGATAGTATGTACTCATTAAATTTGTCAGATATCGTAAACTCTATAACAGGTACATCTGATCTTGAATTAAATGAAGAAGTTTATGTTACTGACTCTTTGGAAATGAAGAAAAATGAAAATCTCCCAAAGGATTATGTCAAATTGGCAAACACAGAGGAAGTTTTGAATGAAGATGAGCAGGAAATGGAGAAAGTTCTAGTGGCAGGAACTACTATGACAGCTGGAGTTAGTGAAGAAAACAAAAGTGACATACTGAATCCCACACCAGTGACAGCCAAGTCTCTGACCATTGACTGTTTGGAATTGGCTTTACCCCCTGAACTGGCTTTTCAACTCAATGAACTATTTGGCCCAGTTGGTATTGATTCAGGTAAGAAAAAAGTAAATTACCTATATGTTTGTTTGTGGTTGAATAAAACACAGAAGTTTCTGTTTCAATGACATCATTTCATGTTAACTGAAATGTGATAGTGTTGGGGGATTTCACACAAAATATTTTTTAGAGGATTTTTTTTTGGGGGGTGCCTTGGGCTTGAACTCAGGACCTGGCCACTTTTTTTGTGCTCAAGGTTAGCATTTTACCATTTGAACCACAGATTCACTTCTATGTTTTTTTTGGGGGTGGGGTGGGGTGGGGTGGTTAATTGGAGATAAGACTCTTAATGGACTTTTTTGCTTGGGCTTTGAGCCGTGATCCTCAGATCTCAGCCTCCTGACTAGCTAGGATCACAGTCGTGAGCCACCAATGCTTGGCAGACTCTGTTTTTAAAAGTAATTTGAAGAAATAGAGAATATATTTTATGTAGAGTTCTATATCCATCTCGTATATATTGATTTTTTTTGTATTTACCTCACTTTTACTTGCATATATGATCATTTTTTAGTCCCCTGATACATGTCATTCAGGTATATGTAAAGCATGAATTAAATTTTTTTTTGGGGGGGTCTGGTTGTGGGGCCTGAACTCTGGGTGCTTTCCCTCAGCTCTTCACCTCAAGGCTAGTGCTCTACCACTTGAGCCACAGCACCACTTCCGGCTTTTTTCTTTTTTTTTGCTTATGTGGTGCTGAGGAATTAAACCCAGGGCCTCATGCATGCAAGGCAAGTGCTCTACCACTGAGCCACCTTCCCAGTCCAATGAATTAATTTTTGAGAATATACTTTCTGAAAAATCTGTATATCAATGAAATATATTGAGAGTAAGGGTAATGAATAACAAATAGATTTATTATGAAATTTTATATATTATACCAATCAAGAAGTGTGAAAACAATGACATATAATACAAAAATATTCCAAGAGGTTTAGTAACTAGAAATGTTAGTAATTAAAAATACAGATTACTTTTCTATGTATGCTAGTTGACTGTATTTTCTGTAAAAGTATAATGAGTAATGATTATATTTTCTTTTCTTTCTCCCCTTCACAAGGGTCTCTAACAGTTGAGGATTGTGTGGTTCATATAGATCTCAATCTGGCTAAAGTGATTCATGAGAAATGGAAAGAATCTGTAATGGTTGGTAGGCTTCTTTGTATGAAGAGCTCTTTTTGTTTGCTTTGTCACCTTTGTTTTGTTGTAAAATCCACCATGTCATATGAAAGAGTTCTGTTGAGTTTTGACTTGAGAGTGAACATTCATTTCCCAATTCTCATAGATTATAAATTGTTTTTCTCTTTTAATATTTGAGATAGTTCTAGATAGTTCAAGTTATATAACTAGTGATGGAGCGCAATGTGATGGTAGATTTATTATTTTTTTTGGCCAGTCTTAGAGCTTGCACTCAGGGCCTAGGCACTGTCCCTGAGCTTCTTTTGCTCATGGCTAGCGCTCTACCACTTGAGCCACAGTGCCACCTCTGGCCTTTTCTGTGTTTGTGACACTGAAGAATTGGACCCAGGGCTTTATGCATGCTAGTCAAGTACTCTACCATTAAGCCACATTCCAAACCCTACATTTTTTTTTAAGGAAAAAAGTAATTTTTTTTTTTGTCGGTCGTGGGGCTTGAACTCTGGGCTTGGGCTCTGTCCCTCAGCTCTTCAGCTCAAGGCTTGCTCTACTGCTTGAGCCATAGCTCCACTTCCAGTTTTCTAGTGGTTTATTGGAGATAAGAGTCTCAAGGATTTTCCTTGCCCAGGCTGGCTTTGAACCCTGATCCTCAGATCTCAGCCTCCTGAGTAGCTAGGATTACAGGCGTGAGCCACCCACGCCCAGCTATTTTTCTTTTTCTTTTTTATTATTAATTCTCCAAAAGACTGTAATACTAATTGGTTAAATTTAAAATAATTAAAAAAAATCCAGCACAAGAGCTCTATAAGTAGAAAAAATATATATACATGTAATCCTACTTTGTAACTTCATCTAATTTTACTGTTTTACTTAGATTTAGTAAGATTAGCTCACATTTTTACAAAAAGAAAATGTAATATACAGTAAAACAGTGCAATTAACCTGTTTACTATCATCTGCTCCTTTGCCAATCTCTTGCTCTAAATTTTTGTTTAGGAGCGACAAAGACAAGAGGAGGTATCTTGTGGCAAGTTTGTGCAAGGTAAAGCATATATTGTTACTTTTAATGTCTTGATGTCGAACTTAGTGTGTTCTTTCTGTGTGTGTATGGTTGTTCTAGTACTGGGACTCAGCTTTTTTTCATTCATGGCTGAAACTTTCCACTTGAACCACACCAGGTCTCTTTGTGTATATGTGTGTGTATTTGTGTGTATGTGTACACTGGGGTTTGAACTTAGGGCCTTGCACTCTTCCTAGTGTTTCCACTCAAGGCTGATACTGCTTGCTTGCTTTCCTTTCTTTCCTTCCTTCCTTCATTCATTTGTTTGCTTCTTTCTTTCTTTCCTTCTTTCTTTCTTTTTTCCCTTCTCTCCCTCCCTCCCTCCCTCCCTCCCTCCCTCCTTTCTTTCTTTCTTTTTTTCTTTCTTTCTTTCTTTTTCTTTCTTTCTTTCTTTCCCTCTCTCTTTCTTTCTGTTTCTCTTTTTCTCTGTTTCTCTCCCTCCCCCTCTCTCTCTCTTTCCCTCCCTCCCTTCCTCCATCCCTCCCTCCCTCCCTCCCTTCCTCCCTTCCTGGTTGTGGGGCCTAAACTCTGGGCCTAGGCACTGTCCCTCAGCTCTTCAGCTCAAGGCTGGTGCTCTACCATTTGAGCCACAGCGCCACTTCCTACTTTTTCTACTTATGTGGTGCTGAGGAATCAAACCTAGGGCCTCTGAAATTCGAGGCAAACACTGAGCCACCTTCCCAGCCCAAGGCTGTTGCTGCTTGAACCACACCTCCACTTACAGCTTTTTGCTGGTTAATTGGTGATAAGAGTCTCTCTGATTACTGGTGTAAATCACTGGCTTACCTGATTATAGGATTATAAGTGTAAGCCACTGGCACTTGGCTTAATTCCTTACTTTGAATGTCAATATTTGTGCACCTCCAGTGAGTAATAGATTTATTAAAATATTGATCTCCTCAGTCTTTGGAGTAGTTAGGCAGAGCAGAGCAGAGCTGTTCCAATTGCTCATTTCCATTGGCTGTAACTTCTCTGGCCCCCATTGTCTTAAATACATGATGCCATTTTTATGTCTGTTTGACATGAAAAAGACTAAGAAGCTTTGAGTTGATGTATAGTTTTATATATATATATATATATATATATATATAATTGCTCATTTGAAATACTGTATTTACACATCATTTCTTGTGTACAGTTATATAGTGTATTTTGAAATTTCAGAGTTGAAATAGATTCACAAATGGAAGAGTTAAAAAAATCATATTTCTTTCACCTCTATACGGTAGATGTAACAGTGAATAATGTTTAGTTTGTACATGAATTAATGAGGATGTGCACTGTTTATATTGTTCTTGTAGATCCTTCTGTGGTTGGACATACTGAAAGTCCTGAGCAAAAATCATCTCAGAGAACTGGAAAAAAATTACTGAAGACTTTAGCAGTCCCTGAAATGCTACCCTTACTGGATCATTGGAATACTCAAACTAAAAAAGTCTCACTCAGAGAAATAATGTCAGAAGAAATTGCCTTACAGGAAAAACATGATTTGGTATGTTAGTAAGATACTAAACTGTTGTCTCTGACTCTAGCTGATTGTGTGTTGCTTACTTTGTGATTTTCATTACTTCTTTGTTTCCCAGACTGGACTTCATATTTAAACAGGTTGAAATTAATGTCAACACTGAAAAATGTTTTTAATATCTGAAGCTGGAGATTTTTGCTTCTAGGTTGATACTCTTTTATTTTGCAAGTGATCTGCAAAATTGTTCTTCATTGTTAACATTTACCTTTAATTTTTTACTTCTAGAAAAAAATGAAAAAGGATCTTCATTTAACTATAATTTCATACAGAAGTTACTAATGTATCTATTTTGTTATAAGTATATAGCCATCTCTGAAACAAAATTTTTACAGAAAATTTCAGAAACTTAAGAATTTGAATTTAAAAGGAAATATTCTTCCTTTTCTAACTTTCCAATTAAGTTCAAGTAGAAACTACTTTGAGATTTATTTACTTTTCTTTCTTTTTTCTTTCTTGTTGGTCGTGGGGCTTGAACTCAAGGCCTGGTTGCTATTCCTGAGCTCCTTTTGCTCAGAGCTATCACTCTACCACTTTGAACTACAGTGCCACTTCCAGCTTTCTGGTGGTTTACTAGAGATAAGTGTTTCATGGACTTTCCTGTTCAGATTGGTTTTCTCACTTTTTTTTGGTGGGGGGGGGTCCTTTGTGAGGCCTGAACTCTGGGCCTAGGCGCTGTCCTTCAGTTCTTCAGCTCAAGGCTAGCGCTTGCCACTTAAGCCACAGTGCCACTTCTGGCTTTTTCTGCTTATGTGGTGCTGAGGAATCGAACCCAGGGCCTTATGCATGCAAGGCAAGCACTCTACCACTGAGCCACCTTCCTATTCCCTCAGATTGGTTTTAAACTACAATCCTCAGGTTGGTTTTAAACTGTCACTAAGATTATAGGCATGAGCCTGGCTTACTTTCATTTCTTATTTCAACATTTAAATTTTAATCCATAAGTGAGTTTAATTTCTTTTCCATTTCTTTTTCTTAAACTTTTTTTTTGTTTTAAATTCTGACAGAATTAAAGAAATAAAACAGTCTAGGTTCCCATGGCTTATACCTATAATCTTTGCTACTCCAGAGATTGAGATTTAAGAATTGTGGTTTGAAGCTAACCTCAATATAATAATAAAGTTGCCACAAGTTTACGTCTAGATTTTTTTTGGCAGTTAATTGGAGATAAAAATCTCTTGGACTTTCCCTCTGGAGCTGGTTCCAAACTTCAATCCTCAGATCTTAGTCTCCTGAGTAGCTAGGATTATAGGCGTGAACCACCTATGCCAGGGCAGCCATATGCTGCTGTCGCTGCTGCTGCTGCTGCTGCTTTCTTCTTTCTGCTTCCTTTTTTTTCTTCTTCGTCTGTCATGGGCCTCGAACTCTGGGTTTGGGCATTGTCCCTCAGCTCTTCAGCTCAAGGATAGTGCTTTACCATTTGAGTCACAGCACCACTTCCTGTTTTCTGGTGGTTAATTGGAGATAAAAGTCTCACTGATGTTCCTGCCTGGGCTAGCTTTGAACCTTGACCCTCAAGATCTCAGCCTCTTGAGTAGCTAGGATTGCAGGCCTGAGCCACTGGTGCCTGGCTCATCTTTTGCTTCTTATTGAAGCCAAGCTAACCCTAATGTGAGCCTTGGATTCCAATAGACACAACTTTATATTCTTCTTAAACTTGTGAATAGAACCAAAGTCTTATTTCATGGACTGCAACATTTCTTTGTGTTCTCTATCACTAGAGCTCAGATCAATTCAGAAAATGCTATGGTGGATATGACCTCCACCAGTAAACTTGAGTTGTCCAGCTGTGTGATCTGGAGTCTAATGTGTAGCCTCAGGCAGACTGGTGAGGCTGTGCTTCTGCTGGAGCCCAGACCCACAGCTCTTGGGCTAGCTTCCTACCAGTACCGCATGCCATCTGGTACCACATGTTGCTGGCACAACTGTGCCTCCCACCCTTAGATTCCTCAGTGCCAGAGAGAAAATTACTTAATGTTTTCCCTTCAGTCTTTGTACTCAGAAAAATATACCTTGTTTATCTTTTTTTTTTTGTCAGTCATGAGGTTTGAACTCTGGGTCTGGGAGCTGTACCTGAGCTCTTCAGCTCACTCTGCCACTTGAGCTACAATGCCACGTCTGGTTTTCTTATTGGAGATAAGAGTCTTGTGGACTTTTGTGGGCTTTCCTGCCTGGATTGGCTGTGAACCGCGATCCTCAGATCTTACCTTCCTGTGTAGCTAGGATTACAGGCGTGAGCCACCAGCACCAGGCTCACCTTGTTTATTTTTTGAGCAAAGAACATGAAAGAAACTTTTATGTAGAGTGTGTGATATAATTAATTGAATAATTATAATAATTGTAAAATTAATTGTAATTGTAAAATTATAAGGTCATTAGTTTTCAGTCCATAATTTAAAAAAAAAAGGTGCTGGTCCTGAGGCTTGAACTCAGGGCCTGGGCACTGCTTGAACTTTTTTTGCTCAAGGTTAGCGCTCTACCACTTGAGTCACAGCTCAAAAAAACTTAAGAAGCCGGGTGTCAGTGGCTCACGTCTGTAATCCTAACTACTCAGGAGGTTGAGATCTGAGGATCATGGTTCAAAGCCAGCCCGGGCAGGAAAGTCCGTGAGACTCTTATCTCCAATAAACCACTCGAAAACTGGAAGTGGTGCTGTGGCTCAAGTGGTAGAGTGCTCGCCTTGAACTGAAGAATGCAGGGACAGTGCCAAGCCCAGAGTTCAAGCCCCACCATGGACCAAAATAACAACAAAAACAAAAACAAAATGTTTAGCCGGGTGCCGGTGCCTCATGACTGTAATCCTAGCTACTAAGGAGGCTGAGATCTGAGGATCACGGTTCCAAGCCAGACTGGGCAGTAAAGTCTGTGAGACTCATCTCCAGTAAACCACCAGAAAACTGGAAGTGGCACTGTGGTTTGAGTAGGAGAGCGCTAGCCTTGAATTGAAGAGTTCAGGGACAGTGCCAAGTCTCAGAGTTCAAGCCTGACTACCAAAAACAAAAACAAAAAGCAAACCAGAAACCAAAAAACAAAACAAAACCAAAAACCCCCAAAACCAAAACTTTAAGTTTTTTGCTGCTGTATTGGAGATAAGAGTATCACAGACTTCTTGCCTGGGCTGGCTTCAAACTGTGATCCTCAGATCTCAGCCTTCTGAGTATCTAGGATTACAGGTATGAGCCATAGTACCTGACAATTTCATTTAATTTTTGAGATAGAGTCTAACCATGTAATCCAGGCTGGCCTCAAACTTGTGATCCTCCAGCCTTAGCCGCTGAGTACTAGGATTGCAAATGTGTATCACCATGCCTAACTGGTGTGGAGGTTTTAGAGATCTCAAGTATGAATTGTGAAAAAGAATTCTGATAGTTATTTTAGACTAAATATATTTGTGGAAAAACTCTAATTGACATGTTGAATTGAATCTCCTTTGTACAGTTAAACATTTAAAACAACTTAAAAAATTACGCATTTTAAGATTTCCTTTCTATCTGAATTTGTACCTTCTTTGTACTTTATGGTTTTACCCATTGAGGAGAACATGTTTTTGAGGATATTTGTGGAATCACAGAGTGTCTGTTTTGTGAGGACTGTGGGAGAAATTTCTTTTAGATCTCAGTACTTTTTCTGAGCCACTGGTTTGTTTTTATTTTGTGGACACTGAAAATCTTTGTTTCCCCCTTTGCTTTGTTCACTAAGGGACTCAGAACTAAATTGGTGGCCCACTTTTAGCAATTGTACAGGATTTTATGGCATGAGCAGTGTTCTGACAAATGCTTTGTTAGGCAGTTTTGTTGTGTGAAGATGACACAGTACTTTGATAATCCTAGATAGTACAGCCTGCTACACCTATAGAGCACATTTTATGTGTGCCTATCGCTGATCACAGTGTTCTTATGTAGTACTTGGACTAGCTATAGATAGTTATCTTCTGTCCTTTTTATGTATTGTGATCAGATGTTTGGTTGTATGTAGGTATGTGCGTTTATATATACATGCACATGTGTGCATCTGTGTGACTGTATGCATAGGTGTATATTTATGAGCAGCTTTGTGTACTTGGCAAAACATGGATATAAATAGTATACAAATACTTACACTACAAACTTCAGCCTTTTAACCAGTGAAGAAAGGCTGGCTTATAAAATGTTAGTCTTTTTGCAACAGAATAACCAGCTTTTGTTCAGCATTATTTTATGTTTCATCTTAAAGGTGCTTTTTATGTTTCTGTTTTAGAAAAGGGAGACACTTATGTTTGAAAAGGATTGTGCCACTAAGCTAAAGGAGAAGCAGCTCTTTAAAATATTTCCAGCCATTAACCAAAATTTCCTAGTGGACATTTTCAAGGATCACAAGTGAGTCCTGGGAGTGGAAAGTTTGGCTGTAGTTTCTACTCTGATATCGCTGGTGGATATACCAAGCTATTATTTTTCTGATAAAAATAATGTGATGTATATAATATAGGTGTATATGTACAGAAAGTGAGCAGTTTCTGACAACTTATGATTCTTCTTGATTTTTCTTATGTATGTACTAATATGTGTGCATGATACTTATTTTTTATGTGCATATACATATATGCATTTTATTTAAAAAGTTGCTTTTTATATACTGATTTTGTAGTTTTGCTGGTAGTTTATCTTCCTATCTATACATAATGATCTGATCTTGCTTTAAATATTTAAGTATTCTATAGTAGGAAAGTACCATGATTTATTTAAATTTTCCTCTTTTTATGGATTTTAAAACTGTTGGAAAGATTGGCAATCATAACTACAACTGCTAGTTTATATATGTACATTGAAAACTTTCCTTTAATAAAAGTGTAACCTTCCTGGATATTAGAAATTAAGTTTTTACCAGTCTGATGAGAAAAATATTTTTTTAAATTTTTGTTTTTCTGATAAATGTGAAGCCTTAATACCCTCCTCCCCCCCATCAGTTGCTCATTTTTGCCAATTTTTCTCTTTCTAGACTTGAGGGCTCTTTAGATATCATGCACAGTCTTTGTTAAGATAGAGTACAGTTATTTTTCCTGCTGTAATGATAATCTCTAACTTATGATGTACACATTGATTGCTTTTTTTTGGTGGTATTGGGAAGTTAACTTGCTAGTCAGGTGCTGTGTCACTTGTACCACTGAGCCACACCATCCCCCAATCCATACATATATATTTTTTGTCAGTTGTGGGGCTTGAACTCTGGGCCTGGTCACTGTCCCTGAGCTCTTTTTGTTCAGGGCCAGCACTCTACCACTTTGAACCACAGCGTCACTTCCAGTTTTCTGATGGTTAATAAGGAGATAAGAGTTTCTTGGACTTTCTTGCCCGGGCTAGCTTTGAATCATGATCCTTCGATCTCAGTCTCTTGAGTAGCTAGGATTACAGACGTGAGCCATCAGTGCCTGGCTTCATATATCTCTCTATTTAAAAAAAAATTGTTATGAAGGTGATGTACAGAGGGATTACAGTTACATAAGTCAGGTAAAGAGTACATTTCTTTTTGGACAGTGTTACCCCTTCTCTCCCAGTTTTTCCCTCCTATCTGCTCACAAGCTGTACAGTTCATTTTCAACAGTGTCCAGTGAGTACCACTGCTGCATTTTCATATATATTTTTAATTCATGTATTTTAGCAGAAAATCTTGTTCTTATTCTTTGTGAACTTTATGTCTTTAGTTTTAGTCTTATTTTGTATTATCCAAAGATTAAATAATATTTCCTTTTTTGGTATAGGTCCTAGGGCTTGAACTCAGCGCCTGGGCACTGTCCCTGAGTTTTTGTGCTCAAGGGTGGTACTCTAACACTTGAGCAGTAGTTCCACTTCTGGCTTTTTTTGTGGTTAACTGGATGGAGATAAGTATCTCACAGCCTTTCCTGCCCAGCTTGGCTTCGAACTAGGATCCTCAGATCTTAGTCTCCTGAGTAGCTAGGATTATAGGCATGAGCCACCAGTACCCACTTTCTTTTAATAAGCAAAAATTTCGAATAGACCTAGCATTTTTTATATGTGTATCTGAAGTAGAGACTTATAAGTGAAATTAAAGGTTTACCTTCATTATTTTCCTAAGTGATTAACAGGATGAATGTATTGTCTTAATTCACTGACAAAAAATATACCAACTGTTTATTGGGTCCTGAGTTGCCACTATGTTGTTTTAAATATTGTTTTTTGACCGTAGGGACCTGCTAGCTAGACTGTGCTGGCCTGGAAGTTGCTGTGTAGACCAGCCTGGCCTAGAACTTGAGATCCTTTTGTCTCAGGCTGTCCATGTCTGTACCACCATGTCCAGCTGAATAGTGTGCTTGATGTTTGATGTATTAGACATGCTTTTACTTTGAATAATATATACTTTTTCTTGTTTTTAGTCCAGATCTCTCTAAGCCCAGACTGTCTTGGAACCTGTCTGTTGTCCTCCTAAGTCAGCCTTACGAGTGTACTAAGATTATAGGCACAGGCCTATATGTGGCCATGTATATATAAATTTTTATTTTTCCTGTAGTAGTATGGTTTGAACTCAGGACCTTGTATTTGGTAGGCAGGTACTCTACCACTTGAGCCCTTTTTACCCTGTTGCTTTAGTTATTTCTTTAGATTAAGGTCTTGCTTTTTGCCTAGATGGGTATGGACTATGAGGCTCTTATTTAAGTTTCCCATGTAGTTCAGGTGGCAGTTTTGTGTGTACCTTGTCCACATTATTTATTGATTGAGATGGGGGTTTTGTGAACTTCTCACCCAGGCTGACCTTGGACTGTGGTCTTCCTAATCTCTGCCACTTGAGTAGCTAAGATTAGAGGCATGCTGGCTACTATGCTGGCTTAATATGTATGTTCGTTGTTGTTTGTGGTCCCCAGGTCTGGACTTAGGGTCTCATGCTTGGTAAGCAGGGGCTTTACCAACTTTCAGGTCTCACTCCCAACTCTCAATAGATTCTTTTTTTTAAATTTATTTTTATTTTTTGTCGGTCATGGGGCTTGAACTCTGGGCCTGGGCGCTTGAACTCTGGGCCTGGGCTCTGTCCCTCAGCTCTTCAGCTCAAGGCTAGTGTTCTACCACTTGAGCTACAGGTTTTCTGGTGGTTTATTGGAGATAAGAGTTTCATGGTCTTTCCTTCCCAGGCTGGCTTTGAACCCTGATCCTCAGATCTCAGCTTCCTGAATAGCTAGATTACAGGTGTGAGCCACTGGCACCTGGCTCAATATATACTTTTTTTTTTTTTTTTT